TTACAATCACATTTTAATATGTTGCTTCACTGATGAACCATATAATACATATGTCCACCATAGAATTTACCTTAAAAGAAATTAGTAACAATTTACATGGCTACAATAATACACAATTGATTTGGTAAATAGAAATGAATAGTTCAAATTGATTTAAAAGAAATTAGTAACAAGTTACATGGTTGTAGATTCATAAGGTTGTCCATAAGTTACACACATAAAGTCCCCGGACAAGTGCAACAAAAAAATGGTTTTACAAAAGGAAAACAAAATACCAACAACATTGTGTAGGTATGGTGCAATGGTTGTCCCAAATGAACAACATTACAAAATCAAAAAATAAAAATAAGAAAAAAGGGGACAACATAAAGAGTTGATACAAAAGTTAGGAAATGACAAGTCTATTTCTCTTTTCCTACAAAATTTTCCAATTTGTGGCAGCTACTTTGATAACCTCATCTTTCTTGGTGTTGTAACAGTGGAGAACCAAATCCAATGCCAATTGCATTCTTGTTTCGTTATCCACCTAATATACAAATATAAAGCAATTAATATAAGCATTATTGTACATGGGGTTGAATTATAAAAATAATAGTAAATAAAAAGATAATTACTTTGATTTTGTAATCATCAAGCCAATCACAATCCAACATCCATTTGGCAACCCAAACGCCAAAATCATTTCTACAAATTAAACAAAATTGAAGTTTAGATTTTGTTGTATAGTGGTAAAAAAAATAGGAATTGATGTAATAAAAATTAAAGTATTGAATGTGGGTTATGAATAAGCATCTTGTTGGCCAATGTTTTGTGGCACAACCACAGGAAAATAAAAAATTTGTGGCTTTTTTGTAAACGTGTATTGGTAAAAAGAATCATGCAAGAAGATTTCTTCAATAAACAATGTTTGCAAGGTTAAAATTTTAAAAATAAAGTATTAGTTAGTTGGAGATAAAAATTTCATTTTAAAAAAATGATATTGTTTAGGTTTGATTACAACATAAATTACCACATTTTTTACTAGTTTTCTAGCACCAAATCTTTGTGGGTCTGGTTTAGAATCCAACATAAGTAGTTTTGCCTCCCTTACATCAACGACCAATAGAAACTAGTGCGAGTTCATATCATTTAGTGGAACAAATATCTAAATTTAAAACAAGATACAGATGAGTGCATTGTTACCAAGTGAAAATGGTGGTTAATTTGAATAATACCTTATTAGATACATGAGTTGACCTTCAAAATGTAGTCAATCTTCCCCGTGAAGTCCTTATGATAATAATACATTAGAGTGTTTGGTGATGTAGTCGAAGCCATCACATATTGCTATAAAAAAAGGTTTAAAAGTTATTCAATGGTAATAATGTTCATTGTGATATGGAGAAAATAATAGTAGTTTGAAAAGTTATTTACTACAAAGGTTGTTGGGAAGTACCAAAAAGTAGCATCTGGAGAAATTGCTCGTTGATTATGTGTGAGCATGCATACTAGCAAGTTAAGGACCTACATGATACCATTAATAATAAACAATGAAAAGAGAAAATCACTTATAATATGGTAAACAACATCTGCGAAACAAAAGAGTGTCTCTTGATCATGTAGACCCCTTGGTAGAAGGCTTTTGAGAGTGTCCCGATCTCCAACTGTGTTCTAAATTGTTGTTACAATGATTTATTTCCTGGAATTGCCCCAAAAAAGGATGTCTAAATGTGAAGAAACAAAATGAAAAGTTTTGTAACATTAAGAAAAATACTTATTTAGTTCATTATCTTTGTTTGTCCCAAAAACATATGCTACAACGAAAACTTGAACATCATCCAAAACCATATCGGGTGGGGGTCAAAATGTCATCGGTATCCACTATAAATGTAGTTATGCAAAGGAAAACAATGGTTATTATTATAAATACTTTAAAAATGTATAAGATAAAGTAATACAAATATCATATTACCTTTGGTATTTCAACGGTTGCTTTGAGTCCATCAAACCTAGCCCTATGCAAGGGTTCCATATTTACGATGAGTCTAAAATTCTTATTGGTTATCGTGTTTGAAAATAACCTTTTTTGAGAGTGTCTCTTTTAATGAATTCCTTTTTTTTTGTGACTATTTTTCATTTTTTAAATTTTTGCTGAGGAAGAGGTGCATGGTGTTTGGCGTACTTTGGTCAAAGAAGCATGTGGTGCATGTGTAATTGTCTCATATGCGTACCGTGTTTGAGGACGTTTTTGCATCAATAATGGACTTTGGGGAGCAACAATGCTAGTAAGGTTGTTCAATCCTTTAATAACTAACTCCATAGATGATGCTAGCCTAGACACTTTTTCTACTATACCATCCTGAGACAGAAACTTTTATTTGTAAGGCAAAAAGTTGTTTATTGATTCGACTTGGTAAATAAAAAAATGAAATAATATTCAAAACTTGTGGGGATGAATAGTCTTGGTTGTTGCATTTTGGGATGTCTGCAGCAGATTTGTGTGAGTTGGTCTCCTTATTAGGTAAGTCCAAATTTGGAATGCTCTCTACAAAGCTGTTCAAAAATGACAAAAATGAAAATTTGGAGTACTCTTACTTTTAATAAGGGCACATTAAATGAAAAAGAAAATGCATGTGCATGTACAATATTAAATGTAATATTGGGTATTGATAACACTTGGACTGACTCATTTAAGAAAAACAAAATATATGCTACTTATGTAGACTACAATACAAAATTGAAAGGTATTAAAAAAATTCAAGTGGATAACCAAATTAATTTGTTGTGAGTTGAAATACTATTTTACCTAGAGGAAATCTCAATAAGTTCCTTCATTTTTTACGCTTTTTTGCTACGCGTACAAATGCTTGGACTTTGTATTACGGTTGTCTTCCTCTAAAGGTTTTTTTTTTCAATTGGGAAACCATTTGGGTCTTGTGTTTGGTATCACTAGGAGGGGAAAGTAGGAGAGATCGGTTGTTTCTGTTTGAATGGTTTATAATGCATGTATGGTAGCCCTATGAAAAAAAGATTTTCAATTTTTTTAATCATTTTAAATAGCGAGAATAAAAAAAACACACACACTACAAGAAAATTGCAAACTAGCGACTGAAATTAGCGACTGAAATTTATCAGTCTCTATTTTGCGACTGATTTAGCGACCAATTCTGAATAATCAAACAACTACTGATTTAGCGACCAAAATAAGTTGTTGCTAGAAAATCAGTTGCTATTTCAGTCGCTGCTTGATTGTGTTTCATGAACACAAAGTTTGCGACGAAACTAGCGACCAACTAGCTACTAAATTGTAAAAAATGTGGCGACTGAATTAAATTCGGTCGCTAAATAAATTTTTTTAATTTTTTTAGTGACGAATTATATTTCGATAACTACTAAACACAACACAATCCACCCTTTGCGACATAATTGAATTCAGTCGCTAAATATTAGTTAAAATTAGCGACGGAATTCTATTCGGTCGCTAAATAAAACTTAAAAAAATATAGAAATTGCTTAAAAGTGATGATAATATTGTTGTTGAGTATCAATCCCATTTTCTTTTTTTGTAAGAGCAAGACATTAATTTATAATAAAAAAATATTTATATGCACTCCTACATAATTAATACCAATAGTTATTTATGCGAAAAAATATTTAGAAGTTTTTTTATAAGGGGATTTTTAGGCATTTTTTTAATTAGAGTATATGAATTTTTTAAAATTTCTTATTTATTTTGATCCATATTTGTAATATATATTTCTAACTTATGATAACTTTATTTTTAAATAAATTTTTAGATTTAAATTTTATTGATAGAAGAGATGTGATATCTTGAGAAAAAAAGAATTATAACATCCTCTCTCTTTCTAATAGGAAGAGCACAAATGTATTTTCTTAACTATTAGTATTTCTTTATTGTTGTGTGTTTGTAATGATTATCAAAAGTAAACTACAACGAAATAAAAATATGAAAGTTTTTTATATATTTTAAAAATTGAAAATATTATATTTTAAAAAGTTATATTAATTAGTCTTGAGAAAATAATATGAATCTAAATAAATTGTAAATATGTGTGTGAAAATTAAAATAAACGTAATTAGTAAGGTCGAATGTGTCACAAAAATAATTAATTTAAAGTTAAAATTTGATAATTTAGCGAGTGTTAGAGTTGCAGATTTATCAAGTAAATGAGTAGGTAGATAATTGATTGGATTGGTTTATTTTTCGCTCACGAGTTTTTTATTTTAAAAAAATAAACTGGTTGACCCAAACTATTTTTTACCATGTTTCTTTTCCCTTCACATTGGGCTAGTCTCACAAATGACCCAAATAATATGCTCCAACTTCGAAACCAATCCAATGGTGCGAGACAACGAGATCCGGCAGCCCTCCTGTGCGAGTTTCGGCAGCCATTGCGCGATTGGAGTAAGTATCTTTTTTTATCTTTTTTTTTCATTTAAAGAAATAATGAATAATGGGTATATTTTTTTTTATCTTTTTCTTATTTACCATTTATAAGCTATCATATTACAATATTACAAGCTATCAATTATAAGTAAATTGTTAACTTTTATTATAAGTAAAAAATCGTAACAATGATAATATATCTTTTTGCTTAATAGTATAAAATTATTTTATATGGTGGGCATATTACTATCATGTGAATTTAGCAGTAAGAAAACACAACTTTCATGAAGATGAGAGTTTAAAAATACTAAAAATATTAAGGTTTAAAAATAATAAAAATAAACTATAGAAATATGATTAAAAAAATAATAAACATGATAGGTGAAAAAATGAGGGTTAAAAAAATATATTTAGTAATATTTTTTAAAAAAAGAATAAAGGGAATGTACTTAGTAAAAAAGGTGGAATTAACAACTAGAAATAAAACGGGTTATGGTTTGGGTCCTACGAGATAAAACGGGTTAACCCGTTAAATAAATAAAAACAAATAAAAAAGGTTTTAGAATTAGGGCTTTTCAGTTTTTGTCATCCGAATCCACCGCTATCGCGAGTCGCAAGCCAAAGGTGTGGCGTGGACAGCCATAGCAGCAATCATATAAGTGCAATTTTAAGCCTTCCGAAACTTTGATATTTCAATCCCAATTGTTTTGATATTATAGTTTAGTTTTTGAACAATTTTATGCTGATTTCCTTAGATGCTATAATCATTGTTTTTTTGCGTTTTCAAATGTTGTAATCGCGGTTAGGATGATGCTAAGTAGGAGAATAGGGATGTGTTCTTTATTGTTCTAAATTTACTGTGCTTTTTTAAAGTTCTTCGAAGCAATAGTGTTTTTTTTTGCAATTCAGGGGATTGGTTCAATTGGATGTTATTTCTCATGTAGGTGCTAACAATATGTATCTCGATTTATCATCTTGGGATTTTGTGCGATTTATCAATATGTATCTTTAATGCATGTAGAAGCCTTGAACAAAAGCTTAACATCTTTTTTTTAAGGTGCATTAGAATGACATCATTGCAAATTGAACGGCAACATAAATATGGTTTTGGTCAAATTTAGGATGCTGGCTTATTAAATAAAGCCATTTTTAATTGAGGAAAAATTAAAATAAGTTGTTGTTAAACAATAGAGAGATACTTTTGCTTCTAAAGAGATTTAGCTTTGAAATTTTGGTGGTTGTGTTTTTTCTAATGTACTCTTTCTCATTGTATATTACAAAAAAAGTATGCTTTGTTATTAAAAATAATTAAATGACATGGTAATAATGGCTTGATTTATAATGTTTAGCATTAGTCATACTCGTTCATATTACTGGCTTGCTGCATGGTAATAGGTGACAAAACCATGGTGCTATGTTGGGTACTGAAATAAGAATGCAACTTTGAAAAAGATATTTATAATTTATTTTTTAAAAAAATTTGATATACATATAATCAATTTGGTGTTTAATTTTATATTATTTAGTTTATCTTTAAACGACTTACTTTTACCAAGTCAAAAAAAATGATGATTCATTAGGTAATTCCTGCGAAGGGCCCTGCTGATGTCATTTCAGGAATCTTTAAGCAAAAATTTGAGGGAGCGTGGCCCACTTGGAAGGCTGTGGATGAATCAGTTTGGGATATATGGTTTGGAGTGTTTCAGGTAGTTAAATTATGTTTAATTTAAAATGTGTTGCATGTAGTTTTTAGTCTGTTTCCTAATTCATTTTTAATGTAGAAATAGTATAAGTGGGATCCACAACATGATCGGGCTATAAGAAAGACTTTTGAGCATAAAGGATCAACTCTTCTGAAAAATGCTATGCATAAGGTTAGACAAGGTGTCGATAAGGGAAATTGGATCCCTGAAAATTCTCGAGCTATTTTGGATCAACATTGATCTTCTGAAAAATTTCAAAACAAAAGTAATATTGCTAAAGGGAGTCGGGCTATAGAGAATGGAGCAACAACCTACATTGGTGGCTCCATATCTACAGGAGCCCACTTTGAAAAATTCGTAAGTTTATTTTATATTTATTTATATTTAGTTCAATTTAATATAATTGATTGGTTGGATTGGGATATTAACTTGTATTTAAATTTATATAGACTAATTAAGGAGCTAAATCATCCCCCTACTGCTTGGGAATTAGTGGAAAAGAAAAGAAAAACTCACGATTGAAGAATGGGTCAGTGATAAAGTCTGCAACATTGCTGTAAGTTAGTCTATTAATTTTAAAACCTTTGCAAAACCATGAGAATCAATAGCCAATTGTTGGTTGCCATTGTGTGTATTGTATAATGTATGTTGTAGAGTTGTTTTGATTTTAGCAATCATTGAGAGCACAAGTGATGTGGTGCATTATTAATTTCATGTCATGCATTAATGAGCCAAATTAAAAAATTTCACATACATGCATCATCCCTTTAGTGCCAATGCATAAAACTTACTGTATATATTGTTGCATGATAGGTCCATTGAATCAATTACAATATTAGCATACATATGTTCGATTACTATATTCTATGTTCTAATAATGACTTACACTTACAAAGAATTTCAATAATCTATATTACAAGTTGTTATCCCTTCTCAATTATGGTTCATTCATGATTCATGTAATATAATTAATCACGCATTAAGGCACAAACACTTATTTTTAGTCATCACAATTCACATACACACACACTTGCATTGGATTTTTTTGGATCAAGACCCTCCTCATCACATATACTGTTGTATAATTGTTTATTTGGTTAAATCTAATTAATTATAAAGTATGCTAAAGTATGAAAAAAATGATGCATAGATTTTGTGATTTTATAACTCTGGGAAGGGTTTAAATATATTAGTTGTGGATTTTGTTAACTCATGTTAGTTGAAGTTTTTGGTAGGTTTAGTGATTTTCTTTTTGATGTTTTTCTTCCTTTGGTGTGGGGTATTAAGGCATGGTGCTCTCTTTCAATAATTTTACAGTAAAAATCTTAATGTTGTCATAATTCTTGTTGGTGTTGTGAGTAGACTTCACTTCCATATGTTTCTTTTATGACTTTGTTTTTTAAAAGTTGTAATATAAGAATTATTTGCTGAATTAAAATCAAAGAATATGTTGTCTTGAAATTTTCTTTGAAATAATATTTTTATTTTTTTAGGAGAAATATAAGGAGTGTTTAATTGAAGTTAAGCAACAAGCTACACAGGATGGCATAAAGGGAACTTGTATGGGCTTGCTGGATTGACTAATGATTTCATTCGCTCAACACTTTCACAATCTTCTATGTCACATCCATCACCAGTCACTATAGGGGTGATAAAAGAAATGCAAAATAGGATAGCTAAATTAAATGCTGAGCTTGCTGCAAAGGAAGTAAAGGAAAAAGCATTGGAAGAACATATATGACAACATGATGAGCAAATGCAGTATATACTACGCAACCTCAACATTGACCTTTTAAGGCCAACTCTTCCTCCACCGAGTACTACCCTAGATGATCCTGAGCATGGTGTTGATGATGCTCTTGATGAGATAGCAGAAGACCCTTAATTAGGCTCCTTTATTTTACTTGTTTTAGGATTTCTAGATGTATTTCACTTGTAATTTGTTGAGGAAACCCTTGATTACTTGTTTTAGGATTTTTTGTTGTATTTGACTATTACTTTGTTGAAGTTTAAATGTTTTATGTTATTATTGTGTCTTTTAGTATGTTATAGTTTTTTTTATTATAAATTGTGTAATGAATATATTGTTAATTTCATATTCATTAACAGGTTAAAATTTATAATTTAAAAAGAATTTAAAAATACTAGTTAACATTAGCGACCGAAATAGCGACTTAATTGATTCGTAGCTATTTCAAGTTTTTTGCGACCAAAATTCATAGCCATTTCAATTTTTTTTTGCGACTGAAAAAGCGACCGAATTCATTCATAGTTATTTCAAGTTTTTTGCGACTGAAATCGCGACCGAATTATTTTGTAGCTATTTCAAGTTTTTTGCGGTTGAAATAACGACCGAATTCATTCGTAGCTATTTCAAGTTTTGTGACCGATTTAGAGACTGATGTAAATTTTTTTTTGAATAAATAAATTTTTTTTCGCGACTGTAATTGCAACCAAATAATTCGGTCGCAAAATTATTGGGAAGCTAGGCGACTAATACTATAGCGACGGTTTATGAAGTTCTAGCGACGGATGTATTTAGTCGCTAACTTACGACAGAAATAATTTTGGTTGCTATTATCAATATCGACTAGGGTTTTAGCGACAAATTTTTTTAGTAGCGAATTCGGTCACTAGATGTAATAGCGACTAAAATAACCTAAATAGCGACGAAATTTGGTGGTCGCTAAAACTTAGTTTTTTTTGTAGTGATAAATTCAATATACATTATGGATGCAGGGGAAACTATGTGCATTGAATGCAAGTCACTGAGATGTCACAATTGTGAAATGGATGTGGGTTATGATGATGGTCACGAGTTTTCACGGAAGGTTCTAATAGAAGTTTGTGTGCTATTCACAAAGCAAAAAAAAATTTTGATTGACATGAAATGTGAGTTGGTAGCAATACCCAATTCGAATGACAGCTGGGCACATATGTGAGTTATGTTGGGATAAAATTTCTTAAGCCAAATAGAAATTTTCCATTAATCAATATTAAGAACCGTTGTCTCAGATTACAGAGTTAATGTTAATAATACGTACTTGTATCCATTGACGTTGATCAAAAGGTTGCAGCGGAATAGTCTTTTGGTACAATGATCTTCCTCAGCCAAATCACTAGATTCCTTGATGGGACTTGATATTACTCTTCTGATGGGGAGACAGAGAGACGTGTGTTTCTGATTTGGCATATTAGGGACCATGACCATCTTTATGATTTTAAACCTATTAGGGTTCCCATTAACCCCTAACGGGCCAAATCTGGTTTCCACTTATTTGGGCCCATATCAGTTTTTTTATGTTGGCAGTCTAAAGGCTCACTAAAATTAGATCACTTTTATTGAGCCCAACTAAATGTAAATAACTAATATAAATACTACAAATAATATATGTAGCCCACAATAATTATTAGAAATAAAATTTCTAACAATCTCTCACTTGGGCTTTATATTCATTTAAGTATTTATATCACAAAAATCTTTAGGTGCGCAACCGTATGTTATTTACTTTTAGACTCCCCTTAAACAATCTGGTCCATCTCATACAACAACAGGGAACCACTGCAGCTTTCATCATTATCTAATGTGACTAAACCACAATGATCACCACAATTGTATGCACTCAATGACATAGATCAAATATGGATAAGTGGCATGGAAATTACATGCAACGTGATCTTAATCATGTCTATTTCCAACTGGTCCAAACTTTATTCTTTATAGAGATCCATTCAAAATGCAACATATATATATTGCACAAAATAAGCTCATAATAGAATTGTCAACTTTATTTATGTAGAAAATCCAAATAATACAAACATTTGGAAAAATTAAAAATAAAGAAGACACAAAACATAAATGAGACTCCCACTAAACTAAGGTACTATAAGGAATTACACCCATATGAGCAGTGTGCTCATGAAAGACTTTAGGCACCAAACCCTTAGTAAGTGGATCAACTAGCATAAAATTAGTCCCCATATGTTCTATAGAAATTTTCTTATTCTGAAATCTTTCCTTAATAACCAGAAACTTTATATCAATGAATTTTGACTTGGTTGTACTCCTATTGTTATTGGAATAAAGAACTGCAGAGTTATTATCACAATAGATTTTTAATGGCCTTTCAATGCCATTAACCACACGTAAATTAGTGATAAAATTTCGCAGCCATATCCCATGATTGGATGCCTCAAAACAAGCAATGAACTCCACAATCATGGTTGATGAAGCTATACTAGTCTGTTTAACAGACTTCCAAGAGATAGCTCCTCCAGCCAACATAAAGATGTATCCAGATGTGGAGCGTTTACTGTCTTGACATCCGGCAAAATCAGAGTCTGAGTATCCAATGATCTCTAAACTGTCAGACTTCTGATAAGTGAGCATATATCCTTTTGTTCTCTTCAAATAGCGCATTACACGCTTTACTGCTTTCCAATGCTGCATCCCAGGATTACTTAAGTATCTGCCCAAAACTCCCACTATAAATGCAATATCGGGACGAGTACAAACTTGAGCATACATTAGACTTCCCACAGCTGAAGCATAGGGAATCTTTTGCATCTCATTTCTTTCAAGGTCATTATTAGGGCATTGTTTGAGGCTAAATTTGTCTCCCTTGGCTATAGGGGTATCTCCTGGTTTACTATCTTTCATGCCGAATCTATCTAAAACTTTATCGATATAGTTCTCTTGTGATAACCTTATGATACCATGAGAACGATCTCTTAGTATCTTAATACCTAATACAAAAGAGGCTTCACCAAGATCTTTCATTTCAAAATTCTTTGTTAAAAATCTCTTGGTTTCGTGCAATAAGCCTATATCGCTGCTGGCAAGCAGTATATCATCGACATATAACACCAAGAATATATATTTACTCCCACTAAACTTATGATAAACACAATCATCAACTATATTTGCCTCAAAACCATATGAGGTAATAACTTGATGGAACTTGTGATACCATTGACGGGAAGCTTGTTTGAGACCATAGATGGATTTCTTTAGTTTGCATACCATGGACTTTGAGTCACCAGACACAAAATTTTCTGGTTGCATCATATAAATCGTTTCTTCAATGTCACCATTTAGAAACGCAGTTTTAACATCCATCTGATGGAGCTCTAAATCATAATGAGCTACGAGTGCCATTATTATTCTAAAAGAATCCTTTGAAGAAACCGGAGAAAAGGTTTCTTTGTAATCAATGCCTTCCTTTTGAGTGAAACCTTTAGCAACTAAACGAGCCTTATATCTCTCGATATTACCTTTTGAATCCCTCTTGGTTTTAAATATCCATTTACAACCAATAGGTTTCACACCTTCAGGTAATTCAACGAGATCCCAAACATCGTTGTCTTGCATAGATTTCATCTCATCCTTCATGGCATCATCCACTTTTGAGAGCTGGAACTTTGCATAGATTGACAGAAGTTGATTGGATCATCCTCTGTTAAACCAATGCCATCCTCATGTTCTTGAAGAAACACAATGTAATCATCTGGAATTGCACTTTTCCTTTCTCTAGTGGATCTCCTTAATAGAACTTCTTGAGATTGTTGAGCTTGCTCTATAGGTATTTGAGGGAGAACCTCAATATTGTCTTGTGTAGGGACAATGTCAGGAATAACTCCATGATTGTCACCTATTACTGGGGTAGGTACTGGAATAGTAATAGGCACGAGGACTTGATCACTGTCAATGACAGGTTCTTCCTCAAAGACAACATTTCTTATGTTCTCTTCCTTCCCAAACTCAACATCCTCAAGGAATCTCGCATTCCCCGTCTCAAAGAATGATCTAGTAGTGGGATTGTAAAATTTATAGCCTCAAGAGCGTTCAGGATAACAAAAAAAATAACAACTAACAGTCCTTGACTCCAGCTTGCTTTCATGCAGCCTATAAGGACGCGCTTCAGCCAGACAACCCCAAATGTATAAATGTTTTAGACTTGGCCTTTTACCTATCCATAGCTCATAAGGAGTTTT